GAAGGGGGAACAGGTATTGTGGCCGCCCGCCAAAAGGTTATGCTGGTCGAACGAGTAGCCACCCATCCAAGCGGATGCACCATCCCGTCGGGCTAGATTGAGGCATATAAAATTTTATCTTAAGCGCAAATTTGGCGCACTCGATTGACGTAGCCAAGCATGCCAGGCCATATATTCTGTGCTGGCGAGACCCCCCAAGTGTTTGCGACGACGGCAGCAGCAGCCACAGGGTTAGCCAACCCAGCTTTGCGTCTGCATAAAGCGTTTACACAGCCTTAAATTTGCCCTGGCCCAAAATCAGTTCAGCGTGTTCGTTCTCGCTTCCTGCCACTTCGGACTATAGCGGCGAAAAAAATCATAGCGCATTGTCAGGCTCCTCTGTTGCCGATCGAAAACTTGTCTTGTCTGACTTCCTTGTTCAAGGCCCGCTTCTTCAAGGTCGTCCACCGTCGTAGTGAGCGCTTGAAAACTCACTGATAAACAGCCATTTGACCGACTGCCTCTCAAGCATGCATGTGCGGTCAGATAGTTACGGCTGTCCAAGCGCCATTTAAACACCCTATCCCTCAGCCGATAAAGCCAACAGGACAAGACATGAATTTGCTCCATGAACACGTTAAAGTAGCTATCACCACCGTCTCACTCTCTCTTAACTATGGCTGGACAAAGTAAACACTAGCTTTGGCTTTACCAGTGGCCACTGTTGTCTGGAGTGGCAGCTGGGATTTCTGTGCACAATAAATTCCCCTCATAGGTGATTCCTGTCTTTTCTCACAACTTGGGGCTTGGCCGAAGGATTTTAGTGCTCTGAGTATAAACACTGCTTAGACGCTACACCTCCTTCCTCCTTAATCCCCTAGCAGAACTAAACTATAATCAATCCGATCTCTGAACGCCCTCAACCTTCTCCCCATACTTATTGGTTATTGACTATTTGCTACTACGACCACTCTTACAGACTCAGCCAGTTGTGCCCAATCTCAAAATGAGTTTGTTGACCGCCTCAGATAATCAACTGGTGCTAATATATAGCGAGGCCGACCATGACGAATTCACCTCCACGACATTTTAATGCATTCCTCACTATAATAAATCTAACGCGCTTGAATATTTCACGACAAGTGACATGTTGTCTTGGAAGGCTGCCAACAGATGGAGCTACTCGTTCCTCGCGGCCAGTAATGTGCGCCCTTATGGGAGAGATGCGCCAATAGCAAATGCCGCTCAAGAAGTGCTGACACTGCACAAACGACGTACGCCCAATGCCCGCATTAGATGGCTGACTATCTCTGACAACGAGGTCAATTCTTCAGAGTGCGTTCTACGGTACTTCAGCGCACTTTATCACCATATAAAAGTTGACGCGCTCGAAGCTATTACAAAATTCTAAAATTCATGGCTTAAAAGGTTACGAGCTGGCGAGATGGCTCGGTCCAAGCCCAAACTTAGTAAAATTTGACACAGCTTTAGGTAGACAGAGATGCGAAGGCGGAAACCAAGGAAAACCCTGATGCACTCTGGGCATCAAACCTGTATTTACTCGGAATAGCATAAACCCCGGTTCACAATCCCTGCTGGGATAAAGACGATATGAGTAGACGTTCTGTAAAGTCCAAGCTGCAGAAATATACTGTAGTAGGCCTATAAGTCGTCTATAGACGGTATGGTAGGACTTGTGCTATTATTTAATCACGCTTTTTTAAACCCATAAGCTAATAAATTTACTTCATACAGATTGGGAGCATATATTGGGTGTCAACTTCTTAAAAAGCACACACAGGCCGTATTATAGTATACTATT